GTATGCTGTACAGTAAAGTGCTCAGCATGTGGTACATACTGTATGTGGGAGGAATGCATGTAGTGTATTTCACAGCATCCTGAGAAAGACATTATGCTACCTCACTGATGGAGCTAGCAGAGCTCTGGGGGTGGGGGGGATGTTTCATGTATGATTAATCCAGGCTGCCAGGAGAACAAACCTGCCCCTGAAATCTGTAACATAAAGACACACATACACCTCCAGACTCGCTGATCATCACTGCGTAAAATGTGGAGGCTGATGAATTTCTCAGGAGAAGACATCCATCCACTTCCCTTAACTATGACGTGTCCGCCCCCCCATTAATGAGAAGAGCACTCCTGTGCAAGAACACAGGGTCATACAGGGTGGTGGTGAAGCCTACAGTGATTGCTGTGCTCCCTCTTTCCAGGGGATTCCTGGATTGCCTGGAGGTCCTGGAGCAGCAGGCCCAAAGGTGAGCATTTTCCCTACAAACCAGAGCTCAGCGTTGCTCATATTAGTTCACAGATTAATTAAATACCACTTATTACTCTGAATGTGGCTACATTAGAGGAAACACAAAGTTTATTCACATTCTGTGATTGTGATCACAGGGAGAGGCAGGAGACCGTGGAGGAAAGGGGGTGCGCGGCCCTCCAGGGCCCTCGGTGAGTCGCTTGTGTCTGAGAAGGTGCAGGTGGCGTAGTGCCTTTTGTACAGTGGTTAGAGGTACAAGCCTTTTTGGAAGCACTTTACTTAAGTGCATTGCATTATAATGGTCAGTGTAAGCATTAAGGATGCTTTGTACTGCATTATAAAGGTATCTACAGTGCATTATAGATTAGAGCTTCATAAGGCGGTCATAATGCATAATAAACATGGCCATAATGTGTTATAGCCATGTTTATACTGTTTTATGACTGTATTATTATTTGTTATGAATAAAAACATAGGTAAAGCGTTGCTGCCTTTTCTTTCTGTTTTCTTCTGAAAAAGGGTGAGGCGGGATTGGCCGGGATGCCGGGACCTGCCGGAAAAGCTGGATCAAAGGCAAGCTGCGTTTTCCCAACTGCCGACAGTGAAGATATATCCATGTTTGACGGCCCAGGGTCGAGTCTGTGTCTAAGAGTACCGGAACGATTGTGACCTTCTAGAGTCAGTCCTGGCAGAACAGGAGTTTAAATAAAATGTGACAGAATGTGCTACAGTATGGCTGACCTTTAATTACATGAGCAACAAGCAAAGGAGATCTGAAATTAATCAGCATGCAGGACAACATAAGGAGAGAGCGTAATTCACAGAAGAGCAGCATGAAAATCAGTAACCCTCATGTAAGTCCGTGCCTGGTGAGCAGCCTCTATTCAGGGAAGCCATTCAGCTTCCGCATGTCTACATGTGCAGGGCAGTAAAGGCGAGGGGGGGCAGCCGGGGGCAGCAGGAACAGCAGGGCTCCAGGTGAGCATCTAATCTTCTGCCTTTTCCAGATTAATACATTCTGATAATACAGCCTCTCTTTTTATTATTCGGCATTATTATTAGCATTAATAGCTATTTACTTATCATACATGTATATATTGTACAGCCGTTTCTAGCACCTTCGCATTATTCTGCACTTTCGGATTAGATGGCAAACTGCATTTTGTTCACTGACTGCTTGTACTCTGTCCAATGACAAAGCTGAATCTAATCTGATAAATATGGGACAGACTCTGCTCTTCCCTTGCTGAGAGCTTTATGCATTGCCATGAGTTTCTCGCGCGTCTGATTGGTGGATCTCCCCCGAAGGGTAAACCGGGTGAAGCAGGAGTGCCGGGGGAACCAGGACACCCGGGTTTGCCAGGGATGAAAGGACGCCAGGTACTGACCTTTCACTGCTTACTCAGCAAACGCTGTGTTCTCTGTCTCTCTGCTTATCTTCGATTATTTACTCAGAAAAGCAGACATGCATTAAGATGACAGGCCAGTTTAGTGTAAAGCAGACCGTGGCATCGGCTCAGTCTCATTGCCTTGGCGGTGGCACCTTTCTGGAGCCCGATAGCCGCAGTGAGCTTTACTGAGTAGCAAAGGCATCAGTATCGCATTTTAGCAAGGAGACAGACATCGCACCTGCTTTATGGAGTGGGGTTTAGCCAAAACTACCACTGCTAGACAACAGTTAAAAAAGGTTTGCCTGAATACAAGCAGCCCATTCATGAAATGAAATAAAATTATAGTTATGGCAGTAAAGTGCAGTTGAGTTAGGTATTTTCAGAAATGAGCGTTGCATGTGCGCACCATGCAGAGCAAACTCACTGATCTCACTTCAATCAATTAAATTGGATTATGCATTAAAGTGATGCTCACATAAGCTATATATGTTGAACCTGCCCTTCTAAGTAGATCTTCCATTCTAACTGGAGGGAAAATAAAATCATTCACAGATTTTTATTTTCTTATTGAGAACCTCATATTCTCCAGACAGCTACAACGGTTTGTGTTTCTGGTATCTGGCACTATGGTCTGTTCTCGTACAGCCCTAGATCTTGGTTACTGGAGCATTCCTTCCCATGACGCGCAGCATGATGTCAGTGTATGGAGGGGGAACCTCTGCTGTGATGCACTTCAGCACAGATCGAATCTCACTTAGCATCAACACATCTAGCCAGAGCAGAGACCACATGGCACGAGATGGCCAGGAACTTGACTGTGACCCACCAAAAACGAGGCTATAATTTAACTTGGGGGGAATCCAGCATTAGAATCTCAGATGCAGTGTGGTTCTCATGAATCCTATCCAGAGCTGGACAGTTCAGGTCCAGAAAGTAAAAGTCCAGACCAAGATTTTGTTTCAATCAACCAGTTGATTTCTCTGTGATTGTGATCCTTAATACTGAACTGGTTGGTTGAAACAAAATACTGGTCTGGATTTTTACTTTCTGGACCTGAACTGTCCACCTCTGATGATATCCCTCCTCACTCACAACCTCGGATTACTTTATCGTTTGACAGCCATGCAGGCTAAATGCTAACTCTTAAACTCCAAGGGCCCTGGTTTAATGATCTAAAGCACATTGTCTGAAGCATACAGCACAAGTTATTTTAGGGCCTTTTGCTAGTTTAACGACAAAAACTGTGTCAGGCACATGGTCCAAACAGGTTGTACTTAGTCTCATAATTAGTTATGGGTGTGTTTGGGATGTAATGTGCTGTCAACCATTTAGAGTGTCGTCTCCATTTCCCTTTAAGAGCCAGGTGCGCTTATACCTTGATGGATTCAGAATTCAGATGCTTTATTGTTATTGTTTCCACAGCAACGAAATTTTAAAGGTGCATCCTCTCCAGTGTCACATCCAAACAGTAGTCACATAGTAACAATAAAACATCAAATAAATAAACAGACAGACCAGCAGGATAAAGTAGTCATACCCCATGGTTTCAAGATATTGCACTTTTTGCCTGTTGCACTGGAAAATAGCAGCATTAAAATTAAGTCCAACTTAGTTGTAACCATGAGACTGAACTGTAAACATGAAGGTGCACTAGATCAGATTATCAGCTTGGCAGTATTCAGTATGGTGATGGCTGAAGGATGGAAACTGTTTTTTAGTCTGTTAGTCTTTATGGATGTGAAATGTCTGCCTGAAGGCAAGCGTTCAAACAGAACATGTCCAGGGTGTGATGGGTCCTGTAGAATTTTCTGGATATTCCTGAGATAACGGGAACTCTGCAAGTCTTCAAGTGAAGGGAGAGGGCAGCTGATTATCCGCTGAGCGACCTGAATGACCCTGTGGAGCTCTTTCCCATGTGCTACTCTGAGCTGGAGAACCATGCACAGAGACAGTAGGCTAGGATACTCTCTACTG